AAGGTTTCGGGGGTGTATTCTACGGGACATTTGCTAACTAAGTCAGTAAAAAAAAAATCGATTTTTTGATCGAGTCTTATCAGAACCCCCCCTTGGGTTAAAGGTAGTTGTGTTTTTTTTTGAAGACGAAGCAGCTATAAATATAGACCAAAGTGGGTTTCTAAAATTGATATAGGGTAGTCGGACCAATCAATGACCGGGTACCAGTGAATGACCACATGATCAATTATCACTTATAAATTGAATGTACGAATGTTAATCTAATTTATAATAGTTTTCCAACACGAAACAATGTTATACCTATAATTTTAATCAACTTTCAACCCGTATAAGTTGTATTAGCTACGCATAAAAAAATATTGAAAATTTTTTGTGGTCATTCACTGGTACGAAGCGTCGATTTGCATACGACCAATAAGTGACCGATTCTTTAAGAATACAATAGTATACAGGTTAAGTTTATTATCAATCCATTTGTATCGATTTTTAAATAAAACCAATTCAATCAGTACTAATTCAACCACTACTGAACTAGTAACAATTATTTACGAATAGTATTGATTATCTAAACGAACGGTAATGTTTAATTTTGTAAAAACGTCGTACGATATTGTATCGGTCATTTACTGGACGTCGACCGGTCATTCAATGGAGATATTTTCTGCAAGTGGTCATTAACTGGCGTTTTTGAGGTGACACGTTAAATCACAATTTTTAATAATATTCACGATGCTAAAATGATTTTTCAATATTTTTAATTGATTGAACACTTAATTAACTATGCGATGATATATTTAGTTTTTATTTAGTGTCAATCATTGAATTTTTGCAGTTCTTCAAAACTTTAAAAACAACAACTCGTTCATTCATTGGTGTGGTTACCCTATATTATGAATGGATCGAACACCCACATTGTCTCGAAAATGATTTTCCATTCAGTTTGGTTGTAAATAAAAATTTTTTATTCAAAATGATCTGACTTTACATACAATTTTAATATATTTTGCAATAGAATAGAAATGAAAAATGTTCCGCATTTTTTGTTGCAAGGAAGTTCGTTTACCAACTAAAAAGGTCCCAAAGGAACCTGCATTTACCTATTATCAGAAGAAGATACTGAGCGACGAGCCTCTTTTCAAGAACAATAAAAAAGTCATTATACGCCCAGGATACTCACACGCTGAACAAGAGGAAGAAAAAACGGGACGAAATACGTGTCTTCAAAAAACCTCCGATTCAAGTAGAGTACAATAAAACTGCAAACAACTTAAGACGACAACAAATTGCCATGACGACAAAAAAACTTTTGTCAAAAAACAAAATCTTACAACGGCGATGGCCAGATTTTCTGGTAACTAGGTAACCATTCAAAATAAACGAGAGGAGTATTTGGAAAACATTCGGTGTCAGAAAGTCACATCGAAGGCACAAAATGATACTATCGATAAAACTAAAATGGAAGAGATCATCGCCAATAATGGAGTTATGCGGGCGGAAATGAAGAAACTTTCCGACCGACTCAAAAAGATCAACGAGTCTGAAATCATCCATGAGGTTAAGTAAAGATTCATTTTTTTCTTTATCGAATATTCCCAAATTTCGTCATCCATGTTACCAGGATATGTTCTGCGTAACATGTACGCCGATAATATATCAGATAAAGTTAAAGAAATTATCTTTAAGGGTTAAATAGCCCAACCTGAGCCACCTAAAAAGCGAAAATGTAAACCAAGAGATAATGAAGAACGTGAACGAAAGCGAGTGAAACATAACGCAATGTAACGTAAGCGACGTTTGGAGCAAAATATGGCCTTCGAGTTGGCGATACTAACATGCCCCCACCTGTACGGCAAAAAGTTTTCCCATCACGATATTCTAAGAGGACTCAAGCATACACTCAGCATGACTTCTACTTACTTCTATAAAAAAGTTGTCCTTACGTTGGAGCAAAAAAGATTTCGAAAACTCGAATATTCAAAACTGAAAAAGATTTGTAAGCTGACAAAAACACAAGTACGTTCATCTAGTCAGTAAGCACGCTAGTGCACCATTGTTAATGCTTGTATTTTTGTAAATTGAAAACTTTTTATGTTATAAAAATAAGAAATTAAAAACAGATACACAAAAGATTTGAATATTATTATTTAATAAATCCTACATCCATCCTTATATCACTGGATAAAATGAAGCAATTTTGTGCGACATGAAGAAGAGTCTCGTAACTTTTTCAACTATCTTTTTTCAAATAAAATAAAGAGACGAACTTTCAAGTCAAGATTATGCACTTTTGTCTTATTTTCGCCGCTTCAATGCACGATTGTCCCAGTGTAAAAATGCTCTGCGCGCAAATAATGATTTTATGCAATAGTATGACGAAAAATGTCTTTTTTCGCACATTTTTTAGTGCCCAAAAAGCGTTTTTGGACACTTGCGTGCGGTAAAATGCCCCATTTTGGACACGGGTGTGCGGTAAAACGCCTCATTTAAGTGAACGTATTTTTCGCCTACTATTGCATAAAATTTTGTATGCAACAAGTGCCCAGCTTTTTGCGCACAGTGTGCAGAAAAAACACACTCGTGCCCAAAAACGCCTTTTGGGCACTTGTTACATAAATAACTATTTTAAATATTAACATGCGTAAACGCACCAAAACTGGCCCTACACTTTATAGTGGAATCACTATGGACCCAAATTCCAATCTCGCAAGGTGAAAAATCACCGAAAACGAAATTGCTCCTGACAGAATTTGAACTCCAGCCCTTCGGCACCTCGTTGTTTCCGCAGGCAAGAGCCTTGCCCACTCAGCCAACGAGGGCCTCGAAGATCAAATTGGTTACTTGTTCCTCTGCATAGCAGCAAAATTACGCAATGTACAGCTGTACGAAGACAAAAAAAAACTTAATGTACCGTCGTTTTTCAACCTTCCTACAATTCAGTGGCGAGAAATTTGGCAAAGATTTCTTTCTAAAGCATAAAGATATTGTTATTAAGAATTTCAAACTTCAGACTTCATGCGCCACCTGAAGACATCATTTGTTCGCACCCATCTTGCGGGTTTTCTCTTTTTTCATCTCATACTTTCAATAAATTACTATTACAAAGCGATCAGCGTCAAAAGTATTTTTTCGTTCCGCCCTATTGTGTATGCAATACTTACTGTAAATTCTTCCATAAATCAGAAGGCATCGAAAGACATGGTTTTACCTTAAAAGAAATTATAAAGAAAATTGCAACTTTTTGATTATTTGTAATGAAAAAAATATTGAAAACTGCTTCTTTCTTCTGACATAAAAATCTACTAAATATTACTACAAAAATCCCAAAACAATAGTTCCAAAGCAAAAGTCCCAAATTATTAGTCCCAAGAATTTTTAATTCCAAAATGATTTAGTTGAAAAAAAAATCCAAAAAACAAGAAATCCAAAATATGAAAAAAATCCAAATTTATTGGTAGTTCAAAAATTAACATTCTCTAGAGGCGGATGTAGTGGCTAATAACCTTCAAATCGTCCAGTAAGATGCTCTGATCGGCGTATTCGCGATGTTTTAAAACAACGTTGAGAATTCTGCCTTCATCACTTTAAAATTGCTATCCCGCTTAGCTCGAACTTTTTGGCCCAGCTCAATCTATCTTGCAATTGTGTTTTCGCGAGTAACACGCAAACTTACCAGGAGACCAAAAAATGCAAAGAATATAATAGTTTTCAAATTTTTCGTGCTTTTATATCGATACAGAAAATTGCAAAGATTTTTTGACATTATAGAAAATCCTCTTAAAATGGGCCCTAAGGCCCATGGGATTAAACTAAGCACAGGGAGCATCATTATTAGGTACCAGGAGACTCAAAAATAATTTTGGGAAAGATCTGTGATCCGAAGGTGGAAAGGTCTCCTTGTTAGTTGCGTATAGGCTGTATATTACGAGTACGCGATATGTTACTGTGCAGGAGCTTTTAATTATTTAACAAGCTCCATACTTGAATAGCTCGATATTGATAATCAGAGAGCATGTTAATGTATTTACTATTTGTAAGTCAGAGACTTCGAGGCCTTGTTCACAACTGATACTGTATCGATCATTCGTGTACGCGTGAATGCGGACTATAAATTTTCATTCGCTTATTATAAGCTATATGCACAATAGAGACATTTTTGACTATTATAAAATTTATGCAACTCCATTAAGTTGAAGTATATTTTCAATTTTATTATTGCAGATATTGAATTCGAGAAATATTACAATTGAAAATTTAGTCTTGCTATAAGCCGGCACAGTTAAAATTCTTAAAATTATTTTTAATGTTTTTAAAGTACGAATCTTACTTACTACCTTCACGCTTGATATCACACGATTACCAATTAATTTTTTTATGTTAAATCAGATATTATATTAACGATTAATAAGTAATGCACATGAGTATCAAGTCACTACTATTTAGTTATAGAGAAAATTAGTTCCAAAAAGTTTGATTTTCCAAATTACGGGTTTGACTTCATTTTGTAAGAAATCGAATTCGTTAGAAAAACGCAAATACAAAAACAGAAGTTATGGTGTAAGTAATGCTGTATTAATAGTGATTATCAATTTCACCAATTTATCCGAACAAATATTGATCAATTTGAACGATTTGTTTTCGACGAATCTACTTTCTTATCAAAATTTTTTCTACAACGCTAATAATACGAACACACAGTGCTTTTTGAATTTCATTTTTATTTTTTACAATTACTTATGTACACAGTAGTGAATACAGTACAATACCCAGCATTGAATTGATTATGTAAAAATCAAACTTCTTATTAAATATATTAATATCTTATTAAATAGAAAACATTCAAGTCTATTGCACGCAGGTGTTAGTGTACAAATTTAACTCGAAATCATTGAAAACTTAACTCCTAAATCGCTAGCTATGGCACTTCATAAATTATTGCGACGAACATCGAAATACTATTCAGTTTTCGTTTTATTTGAACCTACAAATGGATATTTCAACGATTAATTCTCCGTGTGACGCTTGATCCAGTCGACGTAATGAGAAATTCTCGTGAGCACACTTGGATGCCCTCTTGCACCGCAGTCCACTGAACCATAAACAATTCCAACGAGGCGATTGATTTTCGTATTGACAGCGGGACCTCCAGAATCACCCTGTAAATAGGATTACGATCGTTTAGGCAACTGGAAAAAAATTTGCTACAGTTTACGCGATGCATACCTTGCACGAGCTTTCTTGCAACGTTCCTGTGTAACAGATCATTCCATTATCGACAGTTGTTATTTTCCTCCATGATTTCTTGCACTCCTCAAAGTTTGTAATTTTGCCAATGGCCATTAGCAAGTGATCAGGACTGGTAGAGTTTATCTGAAATAATTTAATAATGGTGAGAACTTACTCTATTTTTAATAATTAATTTTACTGTTTTAACTGACAAAAAATTATACACAGCGTTACAAAAAATGCTTCGCCTTATTTATGAAAAGTATAATTTCTGTGTACACTAAGAGTTTATTATTATTATTTTTTTTTTTTTTCATGTGTATGTCAACTTACGGATCTTAATCCCCAGCCTGACAATAAAAGATTTTCACCGACTGTATATTTGTAATCAGACGGGACGAGTTCGATGGGTTTAACGTCCCTGTTGAACTTTATATCCTCACTCATGCGAATCAATGCAATGTCGTTGTGCATCTTCCTTCTGTCCTTGAACTAAAAAGTAATGAAATTTTTTTGTATGCTCACAAAATTAATTTAAACGTCTGAATCTTACCAGATCAACGGCTCTTCGTGTGTAATTCTCATGAAGGATGAATTTTTCCGACTTGTAAATCGTTCCTTTTTTAAAATCTAACTTGTTCGTTCCTACAGTCACTGTTATTTTGTTTACTTTATGCTTTTTTTCCACCAAGCAATGAGCTGCCGTGAGAATGTAACGTTTGTGGATAATCGCACCCCCGCAAAAGAAGTTCCCGTGGTCATGCAAACGAACTTGGTAGGGGAAAAAAAAAGCTGGAGCTCCGATTCCATGGCGCATCCTCGAAACGACATCGTCGTCGTCGAGTGTAGTTACACCTGCGGAAGTCACGAATGATGATAAAATGTTTGATCACACTGAATGCAAACTTTTTTACAATAGCCAACGTTAACGTACCTGCATGAGATGTCGCCAAAATTGACGCTAAAAAAAGTAGAAGGTACAGCAACATTTCGTCGATAAGCAGCCGAAAGGTGAACTGATTGTAGTGCTGAATTCACGTCAAATATATTGTACGAGTGGATCCATTATTATACATTTAATTACTTATTCGATATTGATAAGAATCAAAATTATGTTAGGTTGGACTAATTATTCATTCAATCATTAAACCGTTTCAAATTAATTTGTTGTGATCGGGAATCAAGTAAACAATTTGATAAATTTAAAGTTAAATCCCTCGGCCTTTTATTTACTTTTAATGTCGAGAGTTTGTAAATAGTGCAGTAGTTAAGTTATTTTGCACAACGCATAATTAAAAGCTTAAATAACAATTTTAGATTTGGAACAACGTGTAAGCTAAATTTTAACAGCACTTATTATCTTAAAACTTGAAGTAATATCAAAGCTATTATAAAATACATTACCTAACACCCTTCAAATTTATTTCGCAATCAATAAAAATTGGAAGAAAAATTTTATCATTTTTCTAGGTAAATTTTAGGCAACTAATTTGCAAACACTTGCGATTAAATAATTATCCTCATTCACCATATATGTTTAACCCTAGTATATGTAACAAAACAATGCTGAAAAGTCGTGATGTGCACGCATTACATTGTTTTTAAATGTAATCGATGTAAAGTGCAATAAGCTCATATTTCTCTTTCTACCTTTATATTTTATATTTTGTAATTGAGCGAAGAGATCGTCATATATTATTTAAAACAATTTATTTTGAAACTGATCATTGCGAATTTATCGAGAATAACAGCAAATAATTGGCACGTTAAAAAGTGAACATATTTATAATTCATCTCATTATACACACTTAATTTTAATTGTAAATTTGTAATAAAATTCATTTAATCACCAAGATTAATAAAAACCCACTCAAATTGCAGATAAAAAATGATATATTATCCATATGGGGTTACGCCCCATGGTCCCATTGATAAAATAGAACAAAAAAAATATCCATCTTTACCGCAGTGGTTGCGAAAAAGGCAGGACCCCGTCATTCGCAATGTCTCCTGTCTTCGAGCGCAAGCCAACAATGAAAATCGATCTCGATACGCACAGATAAGAGCTTGGACAGTGCAAACATATTTGAACTGGATGCACTTTACGACGCCAATAAATCATTTTGATATACTTTTGAAAGCTGCCCCACGATACACAATGTATGTAATGCAACGCGCATATGCACGCGCGCGCGTGTCGAGCGAGCCCGGCGCATGCCATATAGAAAGTTGAAATGCGCTCGCGAACGAATATTCCGGTCGTGCACATGTGTGTGTGTGTGTGCGTATACGCGCGCTTAACACATATTTTCCGCTCTGGCGCGTGTGATCGGCATCGCCGAGCGCATACCTCGCTCGTTACATAGGTATTGTCTTACGAAATTATCACTTATCAACGACGACAACGGCGACGACGCGTGTTCCTTTTATTAATTTCGTCGTAAAAAAGAAAAGAAAAATCGATTTTTCGTTAACGACCGAGCGAGAAATTCCTGTCGACGAAAAGTGCATAGGTCGAGTCGTGACGAAACTCATCGAGTCGCGACTTTATTATCGATGATGCGCCTCGTGCGCGGAAGAATAAAAACGACTGCGACTCGGGCGCGCGATACGGAAGAAAACACGCATTTCTCTTCTCTCTTTCTCTCTCGTGCGCACACACTTTGCACTCGATGCAACCATAGCGTGTGTGTGTGTGTGCAAGGTACACATTGTAGAAAGCAGACGATAGATGAGAGTGAGCCTTTCTCGGCTAACAACAACAACAATTTAACAACAAGAAGTGCAGCGCAGGAGCAGTACGAGGCGCTCAGTGCAGGCGCTTCTTTCACCGATCGTCATTATTATAATTCGTCTTACGCGACCTCCCCGCGCGTGCACAGCTCGTATCGTACCATAATAATGCGCTGCGCGTATAATACCTTTGCGCAAAAGATCGCTCGGCGCATGAATCGTATCGCGAAAACAACGAATATCCGAATCCGCGAGCGATCATTCATCTGTCGTGTGTATGCACTTGCGATCGTATAGTATAAGTGAAAACGATCGAGATCCGGCGCCGTCGCGTGCGAATCATTCTTCTCTTCATATTTACACAGCTCGCGAGCTTTTCAAAATTGTTTGATGCGCGGATTAATGCCTGCTGCATAATAGTTTATCATTTTCGCGAGCTCTCTCGTGAGTTTGGGTCAAATATACGAGACGCGGAGAAAGTTATATGCGTGTACGTCTGACCGCTAGGCGATTGCGTCGCGCGCAAACCGCTCGTTTGGTTATTTAGCCGCGAGTCGTATATGTCCCCGCGAAGATGAACGGAATTAGAGAGAGAGAGAGAGAGAGCTGCGCCGTTCGCTATTGCAATGGATACTCGAGCTCGAGGTTTTTGCTTCTGTACGAATGCATTTACATTAGGGTGGTCCACTTTTTCTAAAATTTTTTATATCTCGGGGGATCCATCGGAATCAGAAATTTTGAGGTTTAAAATGAATTTTCCTGTAAACTAGAACCCAAAAAAATGATTTTAGATGGTGTCGATGGATTTTTGAAGTTCAAAAACGTGCTCCAAAAAAGAAGCGAAATCGGGCTATCATTCGATTTATTTCAAACTCTGTTTAAAGTGTAAAAATAGTCTTGACAATACATTTTCTTATGTGTTTTTGTCTGCAAAATCGAATGCCGTAGTCAGTTATGACCTAGGAGCGCAATTTCATTCAAAAAAATACACTTTTTCGATCGTTCTTTTTCGCAAATTCCGCAAAGTTCATTTTCGAGCGAGTGGCAAATGAACAAAAAAAATCTAAAAAAATTTTTGACACCACCAAAATTTAGGATTTTTTATGACGAATCCAATGGTATAAATTAGTATACACTTTGAAATTTTTTTAATGCAGAAAAATACAACTTTATCCCAAAAAACGACATTACGAAAAATTGAAAAATCGAAAAGTGTATTAGTTTCTTCCAGGAAATGGCTACGTAGAATCAACTATGGAAAAAATTGCATGAAACTATCTGATAGGTTTTTTTCTCACCTTTCCAACGCCGGTTTCAGAAGTTAAAAATTCGCAAGATTCGCTGAGATACAGCTATTTTTGTACGATGCATTTTTTAGGCTTAAAATTCAATAATTCTGAGCTAGCTCTATTCATTAAAAAACCAGCGAAGCAGAATTTAAGCTAAAAAATGCATCGTACAAAAATAGCTGTATCTCAGCGAATCTTGCGAATTTTTAACTTCTGAAACCGGCGTTGGAAAGGTGAGAAAAAAACCTATCAGATAGTTTCATGCAATTTTTTCCATAGTTGATTCTACGTAGCCATTTCCTGGAAGAAACTAATACACTTTTCGATTTTTCAATTTTTCGTAATGTCGTTTTTTGGGATAAAGTTGTATTTTTCTGCATTAAAAAAATTTCAAAGTGTATACTAATTTATACCATTGGATTCGTCATAAAAAATCCTAAATTTTGGTGGTGTCAAAAATTTTTTTAGATTTTTTTTGTTCATTTGCCACTCGCTCGAAAATGAACTTTGCGGAATTTGCGAAAAAGAACGATCGAAAAAGTGTATTTTTTTGAATGAAATTGCGCTCCTAGGTCATAACTGACTACGGCATTCGATTTTGCAGACAAAAACACATAAGAAAATGTATTGTCAAGACTATTTTTACACTTTAAACAGAGTTTGAAATAAATCGAATGATAGCCCGATTTCGCTTCTTTTTTGGAGCACGTTTTTGAACTTCAAAAATCCATCGACACCATCTAAAATCATTTTTTTGGGTTCTAGTTTACGGGAAAATTCATTTTAAACCTCAAACTTTTTGATTCCGATGGATCCCCCGAGATATAAAAAATTTTAGAAAAAGTGGACCACCCTAATTTACATACGCGGCATTGTGCGTCGAGCTATTAATTCGCGTCTTCGATTTTTAATTAGATCACCTGCGCCCGTCCGCGGCCGACGAACGATATATAAATAAATAGCCGACCATCTTGGAATGTTTTCTCAGCGAGTCGAAAACGAAAAGAGAGAAAGCAGCATCAGTAGCAGTAGCAGCATTCTGCCAGCGAGTGGCAACGAGGCGAAAAAATAATCCAATTTGCGCCGAAGCTATTTTCAAATTGATTCGCGGCCGAAAGAGAGTAAAACAAAGTGGGTTATATCACGCGTGCTCGCCTATAGACGAAAGCTCATTAATTCTAATTAGATTCTATTCTCTGCAGCTACTATACATATGCAGGCGCGCCGCCGCCGGATGATCGCGCCGCGTTCTCGACTTTGGATAAATAAACAGCACGTAATACCGACGATATATATATATATGTACGCTGCAGCTTCGATTTCAACGCTGTATACATTTATACCTTTCTCGTTCTTCTTCTTTTTTTTCTTTTTTCTCTTTACGAAGCATCGCCGATGACTTTCATTTGCGCGCGCAGAGTTTCGAGCACGAGAGCGTCCGCCGATCGTGTACTCGTTCATGTACTATATACGACGATGATCGCCGGCAGATTGTTACACGCACACTCCAACACACGCACGCAGGAAAATAAGATTTTTTTTTACGTCAGCTGTTCCGTGTAACGCACGTGCAATTACACGTATACGAGCATGCCGGCAACTCGTTTACGCAGTTCGCGAGCGAGAGAGAGAGAGGCTTCTTCCTCGTTCGAGACGCGCATTTACGTCGACGTGTTTTTCATGACCCCCCCTGTCGTATAAAGTAGCGAACGATACATGAGAGCAGCTACTTTGGAGTCGTTGTTGCCTTTTTTTTAATTCGGAGTCGATATTTCTGCAGCATTGTTACGAATGAAAATGAAACGATAAAACCTTGTACGGTATCGTGATCGTGAAAATTAAATTTTTTACCGTTGAGTATTAAATTTACAATGATTGCTTTCAATGAGAGATAAATAAACGCGCGTAGAGCAACAAAAACAAGATAATTCCAGAGTCGATTAGAACAATTCAACGATCCAATCATC